GGAGCACTTTCGAGCGATCATCTTCAATGAATGGCGCTGCGGCACAGGAGCAGTGGAAACCGTCAACATTATCAGCATCGCATTGGGAAGGGACACCACTTCCATCATCAGTGCCAAGCTCTGGTTCGCAGGCTTCGAAGGAGGAGACACGGCTTCCGAAGACAAGACAAGGTTGGGAAGCCCCAAACAGTGGAAGACTCCACCGTTCTCGGCGCTGTCGAAGAGGATCCGGAGGTTAGCACCCGCAGCCTTGTGATAAGACTCGGGTGCACCCATCCCACAGTCCTCGGTCCCCTCCACGCCCTCGCCACAGGAAAGTGCCGACTCGATGGATCCCTCATGTCTTGACCGATAGCACGCGGTTCAGGCGGGTACCCATTTGTCAGTTTCTCCTTCTTTGTCCGCACCGAAAGGAGTTTTTGGAAGGCATGATTACGAGAGATGAGAGTTGGGTCCTCTACGATTCTAACAAGCACAGTGCCGTGTGGCTCCCTCGAGGAGAAGACCCGCCGACACAAGCAAAATCGGACCTTCACCCCAAAAGCTGTCTTCTTTGCTACCTCTGGGATTCGTGAGGAATGTTGTATTATGAGATGCTCCCGCAAAGACATACCGCTACCGGCAGCATTTACGCCAGTCAGCTCCAGAAACTAGCGGACGCTGTTCAAGAAAAACGACCGAGACGAACTTCTGTCCACCTACTCCACGATGACGCCAGGCCCCACATAGCTAAAGAGACCCGTGCAAAATTGGAAGAGCTGATCTGGGACGCGGTTCCCCACCCACCCTATTCCCCTGACATTGCCCTCTCTGATTATCACTTATTTCATCCCCTTAAGGCATTCCTAGCGAAGAAAAAATTCACCAAAGTTGAAGACGTTGAAAGAGCGGTCAGCGATTTCTTTGACTCTCAGTCTGCTCAGTTCTGGGAGAAGGGGGTCGCTGACCTGCCCATTAGGTGGGACTCTGTAGTGAGTAACAATGGTGATTATATTGTTGAGTAGATTCCATTGTACGCGGAATAAAAAAGTAAAGCACAAAAAAGTGTCAAACGGCTCAGGACTTTCTTACCATCCTAATAGATATCCCGTCGCGGGTTTTATCAGCAGAAGTCATATAAGAAGAGCAACCTAATATCTGATTCATCAGGTAGAAAAGGAGGTGAAGGTTCACCAGAGTTATTTCAAGTTTCACGAGTAGTCATAAAATCAAGTCGCGATAGCTGAAACGTAGTTTTAAAAGAACTTCTATTTGGCAACGTGTCAAAAATATGCGCTAAATGACCGTGAATGGGGCCTAAGGGCTAATGGGTCTCGTACAAACATCGTCGTTAGGCTCGATTGCAGACCAACCTTACCACAGGCGCAGTCGAAATCAGCCAGCATTCGCTCCGCTTGCTCGATGTTCGGCGTTATAAGAACGATGTCGTCAGCAAAACGAAGGTGGTGTAGTTGCCGGCCGTCGACTTCACTCCCATTTCTTCCCATTCCAGTTGACGCACCATAGAGTGGCCCTGTCGAATCTCTCTACTCACGTCGACGGTGATCTCCCTAAAACGGTGAGATCCTGATCCTGGTCGTGACGTTGTTACCGCTCTGCCCATTACCTCAGTGACTATTTCGGCACCCACAGAGCCGAAGGCCTCTCAATTCGATGAATGTGAGAAATAGCTACCTTTCGAATGAAGTTTAATTGAGTCTGTTATCCACGTGGATATTGCCAGACGTACTGAACCATCTTCGTAAACGTGCTTGCTCGCTCTCTGGCTCCAGTGTTCTGCCAATCCTGTTGAAGATTACCCGAGTGAGAATTTTATAGACTAATTTTACTATACTGAGCTGCTGTAGCCCGGCTAAAACATAACTTCTCCGCGGCTTTATTGGGACTCGTCACGTTGCAGTCCGAAAGCTTGAATCTCTGAGACTGGCAATTCAAGCTTTCGGTCTGCAACATGACGAGGGCTTCGCACGAATCGCGCCACGGATCACAGAAATCACAAGTGCCCGATCAATACTGCAAGGTGCTCTCCAATCCCGCCGCCATTTCTGCTTGATGGTGATGGTTGAATGACGACTGTTCATGATTCTACTTGTTTCATATTCAGTGTTTCAAATGTTCAAATGGGGCACTTGCGATTTTGCGAATCGCGCGACGGATCGCGGACTCTGACACCAGCCTAAGAGTTTTAGTCATTTCTAGACATGTGTTTGGGTTTCTGTTTTATACGTTTGCACGCTCAATAGATGAGTTGTAATTCAAGATTTGAAGGAAATGACAGTGCGATTACTGAAGGTCTGACGTGTTCAGATGGTACAGCGTGTTGGTCCTGATTATACTAACAGATCGAAGAAGTTTCTTCTAACTGCGGACGACAGGAAGAATGCATTTGAACGACAGTATAATCACGTATACATGTCTCGGCTGGATTTACTTAAGGCGAGGATAATCGATGCTGCAAAGAAGGAATTAGGTGATTTTTCGGTTCAACGTTATATAATTAACATTGTGCATTCCCTTTATAACTAGGTGAGGAAATGGTGTACAAACAGTTGGAGGATCTGGAGATGCACGAGAAGGCATTCGTCATCGGGACCATTGAAAAAAGAATCAGTAAAAGACCTAGTGTGTTGAAGGTGAGCCACTTGCTGCAGCAACATTTTTGGTGGCAGCAACATTTTTAGTGCGGTTTCATTTATATGCAATTTACATTTATATGCAATTTTAGGAGATCGCTGAAGATGAAATGGTCATGCCGGAAGACTATGATCCGGATGAAATGATGTCGATTATATCGAACAAAGATTTTCTAGAGTTTGAAGACGAAAAACAGATCGTAAAGTTGGAGGTGGGGTAATCATCGACTTCAGTCTGCCTTTCAACTCTATAATATATAGCTTAGCTTCTGCGGTCACCTAGTCCAGTGTTCTACTTCTCAGGGTCTTAACAAGAGAGTCCTCAGGACCTTAAGCGCTTGTCAAAAGATATGTTATAGGGGCACTCACATAGAGCTTAGAATTGTGAACCATTTTTTTAAGAGCGGCTCTGGGAATGTCGAAAATCATGTGAAAGCCTGGCGTATGGTTCAATCCCCACTGAGGACATTTTTTGCATTTTTCTAATTTTCACTTTCATGCGCTCATATATGCCCGCATATGTTCATACAGCCGCTATACAAATCGCTTAACAAAGCCTTATAATGTGCAACTGTTCAAAGCTACAAATGCTCTAAAGTATGTCAAAAATGTAAAGACTGTCACCTCCATGTTTCAGGGGAATATTTCGATGGATGAGGTGGCTACTGGGTGCACTGCAGGGCTGTATGGATGCCAGGTTAAATTTAAGGTGTCTGCTTTGCAAATCCTATGTGTTTTCTTGAAATGTACTTTAACAGGTGAAATCTGATGTATTCCAAGTGGAGAAAGTTATCTGGCCAACACCTTGTCCTCAGCGTCCATGGCCGACCAAAAAAACAGGAGGAGTCGTCGCTTTTTTGTCTGGTCTTGAGCTCACTGGTGATGCGGTCAATGATGTAGGTCACTTCCAATCACCTAACTCAGATACTTTTCTAACACTTTCGAAATCTGCTTATATGAAGGGGAACTTACGTGACAATATCAGATAAAATTGAAGTTCGTAATTGATGCGTTTAATTACATGGTAATAATGCTCAGAAACTTGTCGCCACGGCATTCGATTCAATGACGCGTTGGTTAACCGGAGACACTACGCCCGAGCCTCATCTTTCATCAATTTCTTCTCGCGTGGAGAGATTGGTCGTGCTTGGAGAGAGCATTGCCATTGGACAGGTATGGCTTATTGGGTGTAATTCACTAGAAGAAGTGAATCCACTAGAAGTGACTTTTTCCATTCCGCAGCGCGAAACATTTTCCGCTACGGGAACCTCAGGTCCACCACTGATCGACAGTGGCCCGTAGGTTCCCGCAGCGAAAAAATGTTTCGCACTGCGAATGGCGAAAATGTAGTTTCCTGTATTAGTGGAACCACACCCCGGCTTCTTGGTTCTCTATTTGTGGAAAAGGTAACTGAGAAACGAACAAGGCTACATCGCTCATCGAAATAGTCAAAATTATACAGGGTGGTCCAAAATTATGAGGACCAAGACATTGTGTCGTTAAAAACGCATAGTAGCTTGATGGAACAAACAAACTTCAGGGAAGTGTTTGTAACTCTTATCTCAAAGTAATTCCAGAATAGAATTGAGATCTGCCACCTGCCCCGTTTACACGAGCCTTCAGATGAAGGGGATGGCGCGTGCGGTGGCACGCAACTGAGGCGTGTCAAAATGTTTCCAGGCCTTCTGCTCTGCTTTCTTCAGGGGATCAAAGTTTTGTGGGGCATTTATTTGCGCTTGCCTCCAGGGTGTAAAATACAGAAATCTAGAGCTATTAGGTGGACGGTTCCAATACAGTGCGTACCAAAAGTATGTGGACACCCTGAGGCAGATCAAGTTTTTGCAATAATTTCGTAACCTATTTTTAGCGTCCGTTCTGAAGAAGACCGAGCACAGAAATGGGATCCCCATGCTTCTGAACCTTCCTATTGCGAAATAGCACGTCAACCAGTCATGCGTCCTCGTAGGTTTGGAGAGAAATCCGAAATCCTGATGCTAAGCTCTCGACCTTGACTGAGGGTTGTTCTCAATCGCTACTTGTTCAAAACAGGAGAAGAATAGCCTTAATTTTCTCAAATTATTCTTTTCGTACTACTCAACTTTACGCATAAATGATCTTCCCGATCTTAAAAAAGACCAATCGGTGTCTCATTCAATCAATTGAGCACACGACACGAAAGAAGATGAAGAAGGCTTTGTATATGAATGCGGGTTCAGGTTGGCAAGGTTGGAATTCCCACTCAAAAAAGGATCACAACATGATACTTTGAACCCACACAGACAGTGCTTTCGTGGAAATGGTAAAATTAGTATAAAAGACTTTCTGTGGAAATTTCTCATAGACCAACTCGACTGGCAGAAAGAAGCTTATTCCTTACTATTCGGGTGGGTCTTGAGGTTTTTGGAGAGACTTTGGTCGGACCCGCAGATGTGCTCGAAGAGACAATTCGGAAGATGTTCATCAAAGGTCTGGGGTGGTTCCAAAAGGAGGGGGACATTGAAGTTTGGCTTGCCAACATGTCAGGTAGACGACTAGGATTATAATGAGGTGCTTGAGTCCCGGCTACAACCTTTTTCGAAAAGTCATGGTCGCAAATCACTTGTTTTGCAGGGGAGGTCCCTGACACCATTCCATTTGGAAAAATGCTAAACGCAACGGCTTTGATTGGCAAGTCGGCTAGCGTATTCCTCAGACTTCATCCTTATTGAAAACGTAGAGGTATCGTGGTTCGCGGTCTCTACGTCATTGAACAAAAGAGTAATATCACAAGTGACCTAACACGTCGGTGAAATTTGCTAGTTGGGAACAGATCTGCAAGACATGTATCCAGACCCCATTCATAGCATGCCAAACAGAATGGCTCAACTTACTAGAAACTTTGGTAGGCCTACCGATTTCAGATTCTGAAGATATTGCCGTTTTTCAAAAAGTGTCCACATAATTTTGATACAAAGAAAAAACTTTCCATGAAAAATAGTTCGCTAAGTTAGAACGAAATCTTTTGCCGAAAATATCATTGTAGGTTATCGACCACTAGGAGTTGAATGGTGAAGGTTTCATACACAAAAAGCCTTTAGCTGACCCCTGAGAATCGATTCTAGGGTGTCCACATACTTTTGGTACGCACTGTATAACAATTCTCCGAAAGCAACGAAATCGAAATCGCTTTTTAGAAGATTTTTGCTTTATTCTTGGGTGCTCGGTCCTGTAAGAAGTCCCAAGTAGACTACTCGAGTGGCTTTCTATCCACTACAGATGTGGAGTCTTTAGAGTGTCTGGCTGGGTTTTCACATCAATTTTTTCATTTTGGGAGTACGAAAGTCGACAAGGGGAGACCTAGTTTCTGCATCTGATAATTATCCTGGTGGTAACTGTAACTTTCGAGTCCCGAATTTTCCATCTGTGGTGGTTCCAAACTTATTGAAGAGTTGAACTGTTGCTCATAAGAGCTTCCCTGATACGTTAGACTGCCGCTAGATGTAACGTGCCAGAGCCCCTAGTGAGTTCAATTTGAGGACTGACGTAAGGTGATGTAGTTATTTCACTAGTTTTGAGAACTGCATGAAATTTGGTTTCATTAGGAAGAAGACATTGTACCCTTTCACATAGTGCACAGAAAAGGAGATGAAAATGGAGCGACTCGGAAAAAAGTGGATATGACCGCGCGCGCACGCGGTCCTCATAATTTTGGCCCACCCTGTAATATCAAAGCTTGGTAGTTTTATTATTATTCGATGTTTAGTTGGTATCTACCCCTGTCTCAGGACGTGTTATCATCGAAGAGCTCTTTTTCTAGCTCAGGTACAGTGTCCTCAGCCGTTGCGTAATGTGTACATAGCGATGTACATGAAGGGGGTAGTCAAAGCGGCCGACATTGTCCTATCGCTCTGTGCTAATTTACCGAAAGTGCTTGCGCCACTAAGACTCATCCATAGATTGCGCCTCCAGCCATGTACACGCTTATCACTTTTGCCAACAACAGCACCCATAAGTTTTCTCGGTAAAATTGAACTGACGATATTATTATATTAATTAAGGAGTGTTTTGCGGTATGCACAAAATGCTTTGCCGTTTTTGAATTTAAAAGATAATCATTATTAAATTTTGTATAGTGGCAGTATTACCAAGCAGAGTGAATCACTGTCAAGGGTTCCTTGAAAGGGGTTGTATTTGAATTGGCTTGAGGAAAAGGGAACGGTATTTGGCATTTTTGGGAGGTCCAAAAAGGGTACAGTGTGTAAGTGAGGAAGTGAGACAGCAGCGTGAAACGTGAAATTTGCAGTCTCAGAAGTTACACACTAACGTTTACCTCCTTCCTCTCCCCCCCCCCCCTCCCTTCCCGGCCATTCTCCCACGAAATTAGCAATTTTAGTGGTGGAAATGGAGTGAGCTAGTGCATAGTGACGCTAATGAAACAGTTAATCAGAGGGGATCGTATCGATAATGGTGATGGGAAAAGTTGACATCGATACTTCCTTGAGAGGTGGAAATACAGTGACCCCTCAAGGAAATGTCGGTATCAGGCTATTTTCTCGACGCCA